TTTTTGTTTATTGATGCTCTTTGTTATTTTATATATTTGTGAAGAATTTCAGCAGGCATTGTTTCTGTGGGAAGGAGTTAATCCTTTTCGTTAGAACGTAGGGGCTGAGGGTACGGTTTTGGCACCATTCAGCTGTTAGGGTCAGAAATCCAGACATGCCCAAACTCTGCCCAGCCGATCTACTCTTGTCCCTCAGGAGTCATGAGGAAACTGCACAGAGCAGTGGCCAGTGGGACTCAGTGTCACGCTGACAAAAGCTGTGCCAGCTCCCAGCATACGGGTTCTCATGGAGAACTTCGCTTACACTGAAGCCGCGCTGGTGCACGCAGTCTCGGCCCAAGCTCAAGTGAGGACTTCTGCTCCCCTCCCAGCCCCATCTAATTATAATCTTGGAGCCAACATGTTGAAGTGTGTGGGTTAGAAGGTTAGAGAGGAGAGCAAACTAGTGAGTGAACACCGAGTTCCCAAACAACCTCTGAATTTGCTTAGTTAACTACTATGTACAGTGAAGCAGTGCAAGAGACCAGCCATCGGCCCTTGGGGTCAGCCTAGGACAGAAGTTTGAGGCAAAAGAACAGACTGGTGTGGATCCACCTACTACTGACTATGCGCAGTCAGAAGTTTGGACTCTGAATACCAAGGTTTCTCTTACCTTTGGGGAGGACTAGACAGGGAGAGGGACAGAGGGACCTGGCACAAGAGGAGGAGCTCCAACAGTCACAATAAAATACCATTCACTTTTAGGTGAGAAAAAAGACAGGGACAGTTCTCTCTCAGCGCAGTACAGGCCAGTATCTGGTGCAGCCTGGCCCCAGGCTTGCAGGGAGTTAGTTCCACACCATATGATCAGAATATCATTTCGGACTTCACTAAGGTGTGTGGTGACTCAGACATAAAGAAGATTTCTGTGTTTGGCTAATGCTTGTTTCTCCTCTGGTGTCAAGTAAAATATGTAAATATTGTAAGTCTTGTTCTAATAAATATTAGTATTGTTGCTGAGAAGTTTGAGCTTTTGATCTTAAGTTAACAGTTTAATTAAGAGAAATGTAATTTATTTTTAGACCTTCTTGCTTAAAAGTTTCTAATTACAATAACAAATTATAGATAGCATAGAAATGAGAACCATTTGGACACCTAGACTCACATGCTTGAATACGTATTTGTCATTGCTTAGGATTCGATATAGTATCATATTAAACATTTCCTTTTATGTGTTTTTGTCTTTAATACAATGGAAAAAATATTTATAATTTTTATGTGTTTTTGTCTTTAATACAATGGAAAAAATCTTTATAATTAATAAATATTCCCTCCATGCCTAAATATGATAGAGCTGCTTACTCTGTATAATACTAACTGCTACGATACAATGGTAGATGCATTTGTTCAAATACACAGAGTGTCCAACACCAAGAGTGAACCCCACTGTAAACTGTGGACTTTGGGCAATGACGACATGCCAGTGCAGGTTCATCAGTTGTAACGAGTGTACCTCTGTGGTGGGGGCGTTGATAATGAGGGGGCTGTTCGTGAATGGTGGCAGAAGGCATATGGGATATATACGTACCTTTTGCTCATTTTTGTTGTGACCTAAAAGTGCTCTAAAATACAGTCTGCAAGCAGTTAGATACTTCATACCTACTAGAATGGTTACTACTGAAAAGTGTAATAGTACCGTGTCTTTAAGAGGGTGTGGAGCAAGTGGACCTCTTGTATATTATTGGTGAGAATGCAAAATAGCGCAGCCGTTGTAATAAAATAGAATACTAGTATCTTACAAAAGTGGATATGGTTGTACCGTATGTGAAGCAATCTCATTCCTAGGTATTTACCCAAGAGAAGTGAAAACATGCCCACAAAAACACTTTGTTGTAACCAAAAACTGCACCCAATATGAATCTGACCAATGCAGTCCATCAGCTAGTGAATTTGGAAAAGCAAGTTGTGGCTTATCGGTGCTATGGAACACTACTCTGTAACAAAAAGAAATAAAGTAGTAACATGCACAGCAACGTAGATGAAACTCACAAACATGAAATTTGAGAAAAGTTAAAACTGTGATGACTAAAATTAGATCATTGGATGCCTGAGCCAGTGGTCTGGGAAGTAATTGGCTTCAAAAGGATGTCTTGGACTTTCAGGACGATGGCACTGTTTTATATCATGGTTGGCATGGAGGCTTCACAACTGTACATAATCACCCAAAATTATCAAACTGTTCATTTGAGTGAATTTTGTTGTGTGTAAACGACACCTCAATAAAATTAAAAAATGACAGTAGTGGATTTCTGGTACTCAAATATCTTTAGTTAATTTTCACTTTGAGCAAAATATTGACCCATGAACTGTTTGTTTTTTTCCTTATCACTTCAAGAGCAAAATAATAAAAAAATTAAATTAGGGTTAAATGGTGAATAATAATATTTTTGTTTCAATGCCTGTAAACTTATAATGATTTTTTAAAATAAAAATGTTACTGTTTTTCATACCTTCAGAGCAGAAACGCATGAACCAGAGGAATGGTCTGACGATCCCAGCTAGTAGCTCTGAGGACTGTTGTCGGGGTCACGGTCTCTGTCCTGCCCTATTGCAGGTCACGGTCTCTGTCCTGCCCTACTGCAGGTCACGGTCTCTGTCCTGCCCTATTGTAGCTCCAGCTGCTAGGTCCCCCAGGGAGATTAAAACAGAGGACGGAATGAAGTCAGGGAGCTTGTCATGACAAGCTTGATCTTTCGTACCTCACCCCAAACTGAAACCGTGCCTTTGGTGAGCTGAACTGGACCACATGGCTCTGCTTAAGATTCATTGGTCATTTCGCCCTAAGCAGATTCTCTCTTAGCTTGTTCACTGGAGTCTCACCATTATTAAGAAGAGAAGGCCAGGAACAATAAAGTCTAGGAATAAACCTAGGCAAAAAAAGAATGTGTTTTTATAAGCCCAGGGTTGCTCTTTGCAAGCCCAGCATTGGGTTTTCTTTCTTAGGTCCTGGGGCTTGGGGTATCGGGAAGGGAAGACCCTCTCCCAAGCTCTGCCTTACTCACCAGCCAGCTGGGAACAGTCTTGACAGAAACAACACACAGAGTAAATAAACTCTCAGCAGTCAAGCCAAAGCAAGGAGAACCCAAAGAGAACATACCTTGAAGAAAACAGCTAACGTCTCATCACCTGGAGACCTTCGCCACTACCTCCTTCCCCCAAGCACAGAAGGCGCCAGTTCCTTTCATCTTGAACCTTGTCGGTTCTTTTTCCTGAAGGCTAGGAGTTTGAGGAAGCCTTGAGTTACCCTCACAGGCAAAGTGTTACTTTATGTCAGAAACACAATATTTGAGGTATAGTAGATGATGAATAAAACAGCCCGTCACAGATCTGAAAGATCTATGAATGACCAGAGTTCCCTAGGTGGTATACTTTGTGGGACAAAGTGGAATTGATCTGATCTCTCTTAATTTCCTTTGAAAGCAGTTCTGTGGCTAGTGAAGAAAGGCTGGACTGGTTGCTTATCAAAAGATACGCAGGCAAGCTGCAAATACAGACATGGGGGATATTAATACAGGGTATGGACAGTAAGTAAAAGACGACTCCTAACTGTGAGAATCAGCAGTAGCAATTTTTAACATTTTCAACCTATGGCTCTTTAATTATGTCTTCAACTTTAAAATTTTTGCATAATAAAATAACAATTCAGTTAGAAGAGAGTCAAATCATTCTTTCAAAAGTGGTGGTTTCTGTGAGCTTGGCTTTTAGCTTAATCTGCTTGGCATACTACAGGAGGACATGTGCATACTTGCAGATACCATTGTACCTGTGGTTGCTGTATGCATTTTAGATCTGTACTGATGTCAGTGGGACTTGGAGCAGGGGCCCCGTACACTGACTTGTTCCCACTGTACGGTTACGCATCAGTAGTCAGACTCTTTGATTCAGAAGGTAGATGGTGGTTCCCAGGGGTTGGGGTGTTCAATGGACTTAGAGTTTGTTTTGCACAGTGAACAATTTGTGGAGCTCTATCGCACACAGTTGACATGTAATTAATACCACTGTATTGTACACTTAAAAATGGTTAAGATGGTAAACTTTATGTTATGTTTTCACCACAGTTTAAAAAAAATGTTTGCAGTTAGTGAAATTTGGAAAGACACTGAAATTATTTATCTCCCTGAAACTTTTAATTCTAAAAGTTTGATGGGTCTAATTTTCTTGAAATTCTAATCCCAAAGCATTAATTTATTTATAGACATAATAACACTTCCTGGCACACAGCAAGCACTGTCTAAATTTAACTTATTTATCTTGACCACAACAACTCTATGAGGTAGGTATTGTTTTATTTTCTGCCATTTTACTGTAGACATTTTCAAATACATAGACAGTTTGAAAGACTTGTGTGTTGAACACCTTACACTATCCGGGTTCTCTGACATTTTCTTGTCGGGCTTTATCACATATCTACCCTTATCTTTTTCAGACATTGTCCTCTTTTTTACGAATTTCAAAGTAAATTGCAGACCCTCATAGGCTTTGAGGGTAGGTATTTTAATTATCCCCATCTGATGCTAGAGGGACCTGAAACACAAGCAGTTGAGTAATTTATTCAAGGTCACACAGCTTTTAAGTGGCAGAAGTAGGATTTGGACCACGCCTGCCTTAACCGTGTCTGCAGACAGACGGCTGGCCCACATGATCCTAATAGGCATCACCTAAAAAACAGTTTTGTGGTCCAACAAATTTGACAAATGTAGTGTCTCAGTCTTGAAGATTCACATGTATATTTTCATGGTACAGAATCTGTGATGTTTAGCAGTAAAGAAACCCGTTTAACTTTGTTTAAGCAACAATTTTCAAGTTTATTCCACATGAAGGAACCTTTGTCCCAAACCTAACATGGCTTAACCACCCAAGTCAAAAACAGAAAACATTGCCGTTATCTTAGAAGCCCCCATGGGACCCCCTCCTGTTGCCGATCCCCTTAATTATTGCTTTTTTTTCTCTTTGTTTTTTAGCAAATTTAACAGGACATGCAGAGAAGGTGGGGATTGAAAACTTTGAGCTCCTGAAGGTCCTAGGAACTGGAGGTAAGTCTCGAGTTAATTCTTTTTGAGGAAAAAAGTACTCGTTATTCCAATGAGAAAGGATTGATATTACAAGCACAGAAATCAGCTAAAATTTAAAAAATCATAAGGAATCCAGCAGGAGAGCTGTCAAAACACATGAACAAATGATTCGTAGAAATACAAAAGGCAGAGTTTGAAAGAATTGGCAAGGATTTAGAAAAATCAATCTCTTTTTACCTTGCTGTTGGGAATGTAAATTAGTTCAATGTTTACATAGGAGGCAATATTTTTAAGAAACACTAACATTTATAGAGGGTTTGTTACTTGCCAAGTACTTCGTTAAATGCTTTATACTGATTGACTCATTCAGTTCTCACCTCATTCACTTTATTGATCATTGTTTTGAATAACAAAAGCTCAGAACCCTTAAGAAACCTAACAACAGGAGATGGTTGAGTGGAGCCTGGACCTCTGTGCTCAGTGATCCGTACAATGGGATTGAAATGATCTGCACTTACTAACACTTTGGAAAGCTCTCCATAGTGTAATATTACCAAAAAAAAAAAAAGCTACAGAAGGAATGTACAATCTACCATTTCCATGATATAAAGAAGTTCTGTGAATCAGTATCTGCATGTGTATATGTATGTAGGAAAAAATCTCTGTGATACACAGCAGATTGATAGCAGTGGTGGTCCCTGGGTGGTGGGATTTTTGATGATCTTGATCTTCTGCTTTAAACTTTTATGTGTCTTCTGAACTTTTGCTGCTGCTCTTCTTGCTGCTTAAGAGTCAGGGCCTCCTGGGTGTCCGAGACCCTGGCATTTGGAAGAGCCCCGCCATTTGGCTTAATGCTCTGCACTCACTGTTCTGAAATTTGAAGTAATTCATGGGCAAGGCACCCCACTTTTTCATTTAACACCGGCCCCCCATAATGTAGCTCGTCGGGTGCACCGTGTCTCCTCGCCCCTGGCCCTGTGGTGTGCAGCGCTGCAGCCACCCTGCTGTGAGAACTTGCACTTCACTTTCCTCCCTTCCTGCGGAGCGAAGTGCAGGACTTTCCCTCTCTTTTCCCATCAGACCTGGTGTCTGTTTCCCTGGAAGCGGAGAGAGAATCCCAGTGGACAGACCATTTTTCTTTCCCCCTAAAGTTCAGCTTCACACTCCCGAGGCCAGTATACCTCCCTGAGCAGATGGACGGCTCCTGCCCACCTGCGGGTTCGCCCATCCCTTCCAAAGTGCCAAGCCTCATAGCCAGAGAAACGTTCTTTCCTAAGGGCTTCTCTAGTCAACCCCACACACTGCCCTAGCATTCTCACGAATCTGCACGTGTTTATGTGTGCCGCTGTTACTTGTCTTTAGGTCATTTGTTACTGAGCTGTGATGCCTGCCACAGAAAGTCTTCATCATTTCCCTGTGCAGTTTAGCATATTGTGTAGGGCCAACCTTTACAGCGCCGTGAGTGACCCTGTGGTTTATTCTCATCAGCTGAGCATTTATTGTCAGGAAGAATGTAGCGCAATTGTCAACTTGGGGATTTTACTGTGCATTCTCGCCTTCAGATCATTTGTAAGGATGGTATTTTTTTTCACTGCTCACCTGCCCTGTCACTGAGAAATCGTGCTTTCAAAATAGCAGAATCATTCTGTTATCTCTACCTTTGTTTCTTACTTCAAAGGCAGTATCTGCTTAAAGGGGAAAGAAGCGCACAGTCCTGTGGTAACTCTGTTCCTTAGAAATAGTGTTGGTGCCATCTTGGCAAAAGCTTTTTGAGGTCAGTTTATATTAAAGTCACGGAGGCTGTTTTATCTGAATGTTTTATATTTTAGTAGCTTTAGTGCAGTAAATCCATGCACTTTATAATTCGCCCGTTTACAGTGTGCAGATCGGTGGTTTCAGTTCATTCACAGTTTTGCAGCCATCCCCGCAGTCAATTTTAGGGCATTTTCCTTACCTTGAAAAGAAACCCTTTGGCGATTGCATTTCCAGACACATGAAAGCCGAGTGTGTTTTCCACCGGTAAGTCCTCACCTGGGGAAAAAAAGTGATATTAGGAGAGTTTCTGAGATGCCAAAAGGGTTGGCGAGCAAAGAAAATCTAAACAGTATTGTCTGTGTAAAACCATGGTTGTAATGTTGAAATTGTGGGGTTAAAAAAGCAAACTAAAGTATTAGACAAAAGTAGCATATAATTTCGGGTATGATAGGAGTGTGTGTTCGGCGGTCGTGTTCCTCGAGCTTTATTAGGCAGCTGGGTCTTGAATGTGTAAATTACCACACTGATTGAAAAAAAAAAGAAGAAAAACCTGAATAGCCCTGTAACTGCTAAGGAAATTGGTCAGTAAGTCAGTCTTCCTGCTAGGAAAACACTCGATACAGTTTTAGGAGTGAGTCTGCCTGACTTGAAAGGCATAGGTAATTTTAATCTACAGACTCAAGCAACAGAAGAAGTTGAATTATTTTCTCCAATTTATTGTATGAGGCTAGTAGTATAACCTTGATTTCAAATATAGACCAAGAGAGTGGGAGGAAGGAAAAATTATAGGCCAGTTTCACACATGAAAATTTTAATATCAGATCTATAAAATTAAACTGTGTATTTTCTTTCAACATATTTAATACTTTGTCTCATTATCTACCTCAGCTTTTTGAAAGGTTTGATCACAGATCTTAAAGACAATTCTGAGAAAGTGAGGAAAGAGTTTACCAGCAACATTTTACTTTCATATTTCCATTTTATGCTGCTTTGCTGTTCTATAATTGGTCTCTGGGGCCATGGGCACTGCCTTTCCCCTCCATCAGCTCACGGGATACCTGCTTCATGACAGTGGAATAACCAAGAAATGTCACTGTAGGTATTCCTGTATTTAAAATCACAGTTTTGATGACTAAATGGAGTAGGTGGAAACTTTTATTATAAGCCTGATAAAGTCTCAATTTTTATTCAGAAATTTCACCAGTAATTTTTCAGTTTCACTTCCTTTTTAAGGTAATTTTCTCCCAGCACCGTGAACAATAGGAAAGTCTCATCAGATGTCTCTGTGCGTCATGTCAAGTTTTCTTTGGAAGTGAAGCTGAAAACACTTCTAAAGTTTATTTTTGTATCTTTTGCACTAGAAAAAAAAATGCCGTTCATCCAATATCGTGAAAACTTTGTAGAATATTGGACTAGGGGAGATTTTCTTCTTGATGCGATACTTAAGTGCATGTAATATTCATGGAAAAATCTGTCACTCAGAGTGCTGACTTCTTTGTTTTCATCTAGCTCGTGTCTTTTGGTGTATCTAATTGTTTGATTGGTGTCCTCAGCAGGAGACTTGGAAATAATTTTCGATTCTTCTCTATTTTGACCCTTTTATTTTGTTTCCCACAGAGTTACAATTTTTCCTTCAAAATGACCTTCTGCAGCAGCCTGTTGCTTTCTGTTGCAAGTTCCATAAGGCCTGTTGCCTTAAACATGCATCGTTTTTAGTGTTTTCTTAACTGGTCTGCCTTTCTGCTAGTTCTCTCTTTGTTTTATGCACTTTATACATACTGTTATAAAATAATGTACATCCTCATTAAAGCTCAACATTATCGCTGTCTTCTCTTTTCAGAACAGTGCCCTTTTTTTTTTTCCAGTTAATTATTCAAGTCCAAATTCCTGCCCTGCTTTTAGGCTCAGCTGTGCGTCATCCGTCTTGTCTCTGGCTGCCCTGATATTCCACCTACTTTCTGGTCCAGTGACTCTTCCTTCACTTCCCTGGCAGTCGTGTGCACTTCCCCTCCTCTGAGGCTCTGCCTTGTCCGTCCTCTCGTCTTCCTTCGTGCTCCTCCTGCTCTCTGCCTGCCCAAATCCTGCCCACATTGCTTCATTCTCTGGACTGTGGCACCGAAACGCCTTTGCAGAGAATGCAGCGCTGGGTGGTTCTTGGAATTCTCCTTTGCATCTGCTGCTTTTCTTCCCGGGGCTATGAATGCGGCCCAACAGGAAGTTGTAAAGTTACTTAAAACCTTTTTTTGCTCTTCAGTTTTCATTAGTGTTTGTGTATTTAATGTGTGGCCCGAGACAACTCTTCTTCTTCCAGTGTGGCCCAGAGACGCCAAAAGGTCCGACACCCCTGTTTGTCGTCCCTGTATGTCCTTCAACTCTGTTGCTCTGCCCCGTCCTTGTATCCATATGTATGGATGCGAAGAATTACGGGCTCTCAGGTGTGTGTCGTGCTCTTGTCTCCAGCATCGTTCTTGAGACTGATACTCCCAAGACCAGGACATATCTTGGATTCACCTTTTAGAATTATTTTGTTTCGTGATGAAATTTTGGATTATGGTTGGGAGTAATGAATCTGTTTTCATTTCAACTGCCTTCCTTTTGACCATTTTGCTTCCTTTGAGACATCTTTCCAAGAATAGAAGAATTCTTTACACATCCTCATTGTGTACATTATTATTTTTTTAAGATTTTTATTTTTTTTAATCTTTAGAGCGGAAGGGAAGGAGAGAGGGAGAGAAATATCAATGTATGGTTGCCCCTCATGCATCCCCTGCCGAGAACTGGCCTGCAACCCAGGCATGTGCCCTGACTGGGAATCGAACCTCGATCCTTTGGTTCTCAGGCCCGCACTCAATCCAGTGAGGTACACCAGCCAGGGCTGCATAATTATTAATTCTGATACTTAATGAAGTGGAGCATGAAAGTCTCAGCTAAAAGGATTTAGTATTCTCCTTGAATTTTCTTTATTCATCTTACGTGATCTCTACTCTGGAGATCTTTTGTCACTGTGACAAAAAGATAAAATTGCCATGTAACTGTGAAGGGGCAGCGGAGCCGATTTCCCCTTCCGACTGTGGCGCCCTCACAGTTGTGAAGTACTCAGGTGTGGAGGACGACTCAGAAGGCTCAGGCTGGAATCTTGACATCGTCGTCACCTGCTGGCTTTCCTCGCAGAAATCAAATGACCCTTGCTAGTCCAAGTCCCTATTGGCATAAGTTAATAATACCTGTCTCACAGTATTGTTATAAGATCAGTGAAATAATGGACA